TTCCCGTTTCAACTTGACTTGTTAAATTGGTTTGCTGTCCTCACCTCTGAGGTAGTAGAGGACTTCTGAAAAAATCTCCCTCATGGATTTTTGGATATTACAGTAAGCTTTAAATGTGCCTGAATACGTTAGAAAGAAAGTAGGATCCAGAACATGTTTGTAAAAAAACAATCAAAAAGCAGAAAAAGGAAGGAGGAGATGAGCTAATTATTCCAGTCAAAGCTGTCACTTCGTGAAAATGAAACTGTAGAGTTTTTGAGAATTCTTTTATATCACTGCTGTTGGATAAAGCTGGTATTGAAGTCCCAGGCCTTCCTAAAAGGACAGTGGCAATTCCTTGGCAAGAAGCTCAGTTGTTGAGGGAACTGGGATGCTTCGTCTCGGGATGCTGTGGGATGTGCCTATTCTCCTTTCTTCGGCTTGCTGCTGCAAAGAGCCGATATTCCCTCATTTTCCTTCAGTGCAGTGTTGTTCTTTCACATGAGTATGGGCAATCTGTCGCTTGTAACTTCCTAAAGAGTATTAAGATGAGATTTGCTTTTTAAAAAAATTTTCTTTCACTTTTGGCAGCTAGTTTCAGTAATCCAAATGCTGCTACTGAAGTGGAAGCTCTTAATTTCAAGCTCATAACACTAAGAAAATCTGTGAACAGGGAAACGACAAAGCAATTTATTTGTAAAGGAGAAAAAACATCACATGCGGTAGGTCATGTTTTGCAGCCTAGCATTGCAGTCATTCTTTAAGCAGTTGTTTTGTTCTAGAAGTTTTTGTCTTGGATTTAAGTACTGTAGAAGGAAAAAAGTAATTGCCAGTTTCAAGGCAATTTTGCTTTCTGTCTTTTTAATTACTGGCATCCTCGATGCTGTATGTTCTCATTGCATGAAAACAAACCAAAAGGCTTTTTAGGTGGTGGATAGGGAAGAGATCTGTAGTCTTTGTTTCTCCCAGAACTGCAGCCTTACACTGGAGTGCACTGAACCTTTTTTAGAGTTTGCTTTAATTTTGAACACTTAAACAAATACTATCATCTTAAAAAAAGCCATTTGTGTAAGGTAACATTAAAATTTAAGGTATCTTCTGAGCAGCTGATAAGCATTTTGGTAAAGAAAAGTACCTTGTGAAGTATAGTAAGTTTGCTTTTCTTTGCACTGAGTTCAAGTGTTCAGAGGCCTGATAAGGGCCTTTGTTGAAAATGTTGACTGTTCATTCATGAATGATTAACAAGTTGTGTTATTTAAAGGCACATAGCTGCTCCCTACTGTGTCAGTATAAAAACTATGTTCTGAAAAAGCTGTGTGTACAGTCTGTATTTGAAGAATGTTTTGTGTTGATTCTGGAAACTTTGTCCTGCCTATGTGAAACTCTTCCTTATCAATTTGCAAGGATTTACTGCTAGCAGACTTTTCTGTGAGACTGTACTGAAATGCGTCAGATTTCTGAAGTATTAAAATACAGAGCATTACTGAGGTCAGGGAGAAGCACTTACATTAATAAAGTTGTCATAGTCTTAACAGGCTGTACAATTTTCATTCAAGTTGTAGCATTTTTCTTTATCACTTCTCCTGGCAAGAGTCCTTCACTGTTTTTAGCAGAAGAAAGCAACATGAAAAAGTCTGAAATCCATATCAAATAGCAAATGAATGTCGAAATGTTTTGAGTACGAGGCATTTTGTGTATGCTTGCACAGGCATGTTGAAGGATGTGTTCTTGTGATTCTGATAGTAAGAAGAAAAGCAGTCTCTTTTGGTAGATTTAATTCCATGCTTATGAACATTCAGAGCTTGTCAGTGCAAAAATGAAGCTGAAGGAGTGAAGAGCTAGCTGGAAGTCCTCATGTACGTAAGAGCTGTTTAGTGTTTAGCATACATTTAAGTTTACCTTAACTATGGTAGTGAGAGGGTTATCTTCTGAAGCTTAGTACTTCCAAACCCAAAATACCAATTTCTGATTCTCAAAGGGAAGCCAGAACTTTTGTCCTGAACAACAAACAAGATAGCTAACTGTCCTGCCAACCAAAGGTCTGTTTTTGGGGAACAGCTGTGGAAGTGGTCAGAAACCATTTTGATCTGGGTAATGCGTTATCTGCTCGGATTTATACATTGGTAATGAGTAATGGGTTTGGTAAATGAAAGGAGTACAGTTAAATTAATATGTTTTTTGGCTTGAAACTATGAAAGGATAAAAGGTTTTTGCAGAACACAGTCTTGAAGTCGTCATAGAATCATAGAATGGTTAGGGCTGGAAGGGACCTTCAAAGGTCATCTAGTCCAACCCCCCTGCAAGGAACAGGGACACCTCCAACTAGATCAGGTTGCTCAGGGCCTCGTCCAACCTGGCCTTAATCAAACCAGTTGCCTTAAAGGAAGGGACGAGGTGGTGCAATTCCTGGGAGCTCGAGGGACCTGCCTCTCTGCAGGGCTCCCCAAGTTTTCGGGGGGGAGAGGATTGACCTTCCTGCCAGCACGGATGTAGACAGTACCCTAAAGTTAATTTCAGGAAATTTTGAGCTTTCTAAAAGCTGCTTTTCTCATCAATGAGAAATTCTTCACAGAATTAGCCTTGATGAGGTTGGGTGCTGTTGAACTGAGCATTACTGTAGACACAACACACCTCCTTGTGTGGCTCGAGGTATGAGGAAGTATTATTGCATGCTATGTGGTTATTTAAAATAGTTCCTGATAATAAGGTTGTGTCCCTCAAAGATGTACTTAAGAGCTAAGCTGTGTGGTGTAGTTAGATTGGTGACTTTGTATTTTTTTACACTTCGCTGAAAGCACTGACTTACAGGTGCCTTTAAAAAACTCTTGCAGTTCTCCCCGAAAAAAAAAATAATTCAGAAATGAGAGCAACAATGAATGAAAGTAGCAGGAGGCTTGGTTTGCAGGACAGTTAGCTGTCTTGTTTGTTGTTCAGGACAAAAGTTCTGGCTTCCCCTTCTTATTGTCTGGTGTGGAAGAGCAATTTTAGGATAGGAAGGTTGTGCCAGCCGCCGGCCCCCACTGCAGCGGCCAGGGCGCTCGATGCTGCTGCTTTTGCCACTTCTTTGAAAGAGAGGAAGAACCTGAAGGTTTGTGCCTTCCCCAGTGCAGGTGTATGTTGCTTCAGACGACAAACCCGGTGGTTTAATGGCAGGATGATTTACATGGGAAATGCGGCTCTGCGGGCAAATTGGGAAACGAATGCAGAAACTGCACTCTTGAATGAGTCAAGGTGACGGGAATGGAGGTTCATCCTGAAGACTGGGGTGATGCTTCATTCATAGCAGAGTTCTTTATCCTCTTATTGCTCTCCAGCAGTTCTACCAAAGGCAGCTGTTCTACCCTCCTCAAAAGAAAAAGTGGAGGGAGAAGGCTTGGATAATAGAAAAATAGACTTTTACAGTTAATCAAGTTTTGTAACAGATTTTTTTCCCTTGAATTATGTAGAGGAGAATACTAATTGGTTTTGGCTCTGTGATTTTGCCAGTGCTGCAATTTTTTTTTTCCCCTCCCCTTGTGGTTTGCTTTAAACTACACTCGCTATATCTAGTACACTGTGTTTCCTCTTTTAAAGGCGCACAAAACAAGTCCATGCCTGTTTTAATCTCATTAAGTTCCTCTCTATTTTTTTCCCCTTTTGGTTGTGGATATTGCCCATATTTGGTTCTAGCTATGGTGCAATCACTTTATATCTGATTGTGTGGTATGATATGCTGTCTTGCCTGAGCAAACCCCAATAATTTATGATTAGATGTGGGCTAGATTAGCAGCTTACGATTTTAATGTTTAAAAGTATATTATAAAAGGTCTTTTATGTGATGCAATATGTTATTTTTTCCTGTGAAAGATGCAACAGGAGACACAAGGACTTGCCTGCAGCAAGGCTTCTGAATTAAAACCAGGCAGAGGGCAGGGATGGTGTAAGTTTCATAGTTCCTTCCTGGTGCCTAACTAATGTGCCCTAAAATACAGAGATGGCAGTGCATTACCAGGAAACTGTTCACTTTAGTTTAATAATAAGCTGCTTTCACAGTCTCGTAAATACAGCTCTTGTGAAAACACATGCTCTTATATTCTGCATGGTGTGTTTTATATACTTGTATTACACTTTAAAAATTGAGCATCTGAAAGTGTGTTTCTCTCCTAAATGCTTTAGTGGCTTATTTGAAAGTACTCATGGTTTCAGTGAGTGCCACGGACTTTTAACTGTGCTTTCTGCTGGCCTTTGTGTTAGCAAACTATTTATTAATGAGAAATTGCCATCAGTGTTTTGTTTTCTTGTAGATATTGATTGTTCTGCTTGTGTGTATGTGTATGAATAAAATTAGGTGGATAAGAATATCCACTTAATTTCTAGAAGAAGAGAGTAGTAAACAGAATACTCAGTAATATTGCCTAAAATATTTTTAAATAAGCGTCTGTTTGGAAAGGCATACAGGTAAACCATCCAGGTGTTTTCCAGAGTTTCTTAGTCACAACATTGTGCTCGCCTTTCCAACTCAACTGTCTGTTTAGATCTTGCTGAGAAGATAGAAGTGCTGCTTTGCATTCGCCATCATCTGTATTAGCAGTGAGGGAGAAAGGTTGGGGAACCATCTTTGCCTACCAAGTGGCATCTCAGAAATGCTACCTTTTGTCTTGAGCAAGATCACACTACTTACAGTTCCTGAGCAAGACGTGAACTGTAAAACTGAAGTTTTTCAACAAGGCGAGCATGTAATTATTTTGAGGATTCCAGTGTTATTTCAAATCCACTGTAAGACATAATTATCAGCTGTCATCTGAAGAAATGCTGAAAAATTGTTTCAGTATTAAATAAATATAGCTTGTGATATTTACCTTATGGTTAACAGTCTAACGTTTTCACACCCCAGCATCTTGTGGCTGTCCTTTGTGCTTTTATACTTAACAACAAAAAGAGGGAGTTTGTTGGTTTGTTTTATTGTTGTGATATATTCTGATTTGTAAGGGAGCATTCGAAAATTCATTTGCTCTTTAACAATACATTTCTTCTCTCAATAGCCAACTACTCCACCAAGCCAAGGGAGGCCTGATTCACCAGTTTATGCTAATTTACAAGAACTGAAAATATCTCAGTCTGCACTTCCACCACTACCTACAAGTGCTCCGGTCCAAATAAATGGGGAATGGGAAACTCATAAAGATACGACAGGACGCTGTTATTACTACAACAGAGGATCACAGGAACGAACCTGGAAACCTCCGCGGTGGGCCCGAGATGCAAGCATTAATAAAGGGGATTCCCAGAGCCATGCAGATCATGAGGTAGTTCCTTCTGAGATCACAAGCAATGAGATTGAAATGCATATGAATGCTGTTCTGCTGTGGAATTTGGTATCGCTAAGTTTTGAGGTGTCAAGGAGTGACTTCGTTTGTCTTTTTGGTCATGTGTTTTGGTATGAAGTAGTGAACAATTTAGCTCTTCAATTCCTTTTGTGTACAAGAATGTGTACATGAGCAGTAAGTTGTAAAACGCCTTACAGTCTCTCAGCAGCTTTTCTTTTAAAGGTAAAGGAAAACTAAGATGTTTTGAAACTAATAGGGCTATAAATGACAACAGAATAAGACAACCATCATAACTTCTCTGACATGGAGTGCCTTCTCTTGCTCAGTGTATTTGACACATTTTTGAGAGAAGGTTGGTAAAAGGAAGTGGAGTGAGACAGTGCTTCTAGAAGCAGGATTCATGGGGATGTGTTGAAAAAGGCAAGGGGAATTATTTAGCTGATATTGATAAAAATAAATAGGTGTTTAATAAATAAACTACAGGTGTTTGCCAGTGCTTGGTTAATGCTGTGGCAGTAAATTTAAATATGGGATGATGTTCTTACAGGTATTTTTTGTAGAGAGGAATTAAGATGAATGTAGAGAACTCCAGAGTTCTGGAGTCAAAACCAGACTTAATGGAGTTCCACAGCACCTTCTACCTGCATCAAAAATACTGACATAATTGAAGTTTCTATCAAATTAAAATATATTGATTTTTATTTTGTACTTAGATTTATACATGCTATTAATAATTCTATATATTATTTTAGAATATTTATTTTCTTAAAAAGGGGCATATGTGACGCTTTAAACTTGAATGTTATTTAATTCATGAATTCTCAAAGAGGTGGAATAATAATTGAATATATTGAATATAAAAAGCAAGTTTAGCTGGATAACTTTTATTTAACCATTTGCTTGGGAGCTTGGAATTTACATGCTTGTCAGTGATTTCTGTGTGGAGCTTTGGATAGCTGTAGAACAAACTAGGGGAGAGGACAGTTAAAGGAGCAATGCTTTGTAATGAGTTTGTGTTAACTTTTGAGAAAATCCTTCATTCTGGCAAAGATGTTCTAGAGAACAGAAGATGAGAACGTTTAAATTGCCATGCTAGAAGCTCTGCCTAGCCAAGTGTCTAGGTCCAAGGGTAGCAAATGCTGGTGGGGAGAAGGAAATCTACCTTAGCTTTTGGCAATTGGCCGTAGGAGCTTTTGACTAGAGTACATTCAGGCCATAAACATGTTCCGTAGAGAGATCAATGGATTTTTTTCACTATGCAAACATTTTGCTTTTGCAAAACTTTTTGGCAAAGCTTTGCCGCAGACCTTGCTTAAAAGAGTTGAAGCTTACCATGGAGTTATTTATGTTAAAGGATGATTTTGGCTAATATTTGAGGTGCAGATATGTTCTGTGCAGCCAGTTGCTAGGGAGAGCCAGACAGTGGTGTGTGTTTATCTGAGCTGCAGTGGTTCAGATAAAGCAAAGGAATAGTTGGGAGATGGATATTACTGTTTAAACAGGCTTAAAATAGCGCTGTTGTGTTCAAACAGTACGTGGGTTAATCAGTTTCCTGATTGAAAGAAAAAGCAAACATTTATGGAGAAATCTTATACATATTTCACTTTCATATACCCTTTAAAAATATGTGTACTTTAGGTGGCTTTCCTTCTGAGCCTATTACAATGTTTAGCTTTAAAATTCAGTTGTGAACTGCTCAAAAATTTTAGATTGCTGGAAGCCCTGTTGTAGAAGTCTACCTGTGGGATAGTAGTGCCAGGAACAGGAGAGAAAGGAAAAAGGGACCCTTTCATTGCCTTTGGCAATGGCCTTCATAGCAGCTGTGACATCCACATGCATTTAAACAGCCGAATTTTCTTGCCACAGGCTAGTGGCAGTAACAGGTAAACTGGTGAGATGTTTGTGGCTGTCACTTTTGTATCTCTGATGATGGTCTCTTAATTTCTCACTGCTTGTCCTTCTGCAGAATAAGACTGGTTTTAGTCTGGATGATGTGATTGCTTTTTTGAGTAGTAACTCTCCTTGTAATAAGTGTAACTGGTGTTCTGTTGTCATTGTTCTTTCTTGTTTTCATGGAAGGACTTCTATTAATTCTTTCTTCCTCCCCATCTGCAAATGATTCGTCTGACTCTTACTCATATCTCTGTACCTTCACCACATGGTTGCATGTTCAGAAAGCTTGATTTTTTAAAATTTTTTTTTTAGTTGTCTATGACTTATTCAGCTCAGTTCTGTGATGCTTGAGACATCACAGATTGGCCTTCAGACAGTTATAACTATCAAATTTTCAGTCTTTGCAAGATAATGCATATTTTGATTAATTTTTAACTAGACACAAGTTTATATTTCCAGTAGCACAAGTTCCTTGAGAAATTTGCATCCTCTCTGACTGGGTTATCAGGTTGAGTCTAGGGAGATCACCTGTTGCCAGGTCATGTCAATCTGCTTTCTAGCAGTTGTGTTGCTTTTTGGAGCTGCCTTTTTTTCTTTTTTCCTTTCTCTTCTGTTCTGTGTTTGGGAGCATACTTCACACTCCACTCTTTGTGTTCACCTTTTTGTTTATGACCTGAGTACTTAAACCAAAATACTTAGAGTATAGGTTGAGATCTGAGGCTAAGCTGTGGTAAAATATAGGACATCCCAAATGTTGTCTGATTATGAAGACTTGGAGCAAGTATTTCTTAATAATTAGTAAAACCATATTTAATTTATTATAATGAAGTTAAGTTGGCTTTTACACACTAGTCGGAGTTATGCTTATTCCCTTCAGATTTAGTAGGAAAAGAGCATATGCAAGAAGGTTAAATGCTAGTTGTGTATCTGCTGATTTGTCCTCAGAGGACCTTGTATCGTATTAGGTAGGAAAATGTGTTTGAGGAAGGAACACTTAACAGTAACTGGGAGAAATTTGTCAGATAGTGAAGTGATTTAAGTAAAATGGACTGTAAAAGGAATGAGATGTATCGTCGTATCACAGAAAGGCAAACCTCTAATACCTAGCTAGGAGTCCATAACACGGAGACCAACGAATTAACCAGTAGAAAGGCAACAAGATTTCATTTAAACTGAAAACTACTTTTAGAACATGTGGCCAAAACGAAATTTCATTCCGCTTTTTGTTTCAAAACAAAGGGTAATAAAGGGATATTAGCTTCTTTGATTACTCAGTATTCTTTCTCAGTATTTTCATTTTTTTAGAAGTAGTAGGGACTTTCAAAGCTGGCTTGATTAAATGGTAGAGGAGAACCTATTATTATTATTATTATTATTATTATTATTATTATTATTATTATAATATACATGGTGATGAACTGATCTCTACCCTGAAGAATTTTCCATGTAAGTGGAAAAAAATCCAGGACAGATAGTAGAAGCAATGATCTAGGGGACCTTTTTTGTACTTCCTTTTAGTGTGACAGCAGAGTTCTTGCAAGGTGTAAAGGTTGGTCAACTGCCTGCTTAAGGTGGTTTTAGTTAAATGTGGTATAATATAATTGAGGATGAGACTCTGAGATAAAGCATTGACGATACATAAAAAGCATATAGACAGTTAATACTGAAAAAAAAAATTAAATGGAAAGGTGCTGAAAATGATTTGGCCAGTGTTCTCTAACCCCTGTTGATGCTGCTTTAGCAGTTGTTCCTACTAGCTGAGGGACATGGAGGGCCTTGGCTTGGTAAACTTCGTAACGACTCAAGAGCTTCCTTTAAGTTTTGGTCTGCAAAGGCTGAATTACTACATTGTGTTGTAGCTGAGATTAGTTAAGCCTTAAAGCATCAAGACTATTACTATATGGATTTCTTACAGATAAGACACATAAAGTCATTTTTACTGGACAACTGTTTTTTCTGGGAGGATTTTCGTTTTTAAGTCTTCTGTCTACGTGTTTTACGTGTGTACAGTGCTTCTTCAGTATCAGGAGTTGCTTGGAAGAGACAAATGCAAACATGTTAGGTTATTAGGTCATTATTCCTGTTAATAGTAATAATAAAAGTGTCCGAAGTCTACTACTTTGAAGAAATGTCAATGCACTTAATATTTAACCTTTAAAACATAATATAAACTTAAATATGTGTGTACAATATAGCGATCTTATAAAGCAGTAGTTCAAATGGGGCTAATAGCCCTCTTATCATCTCCTAAGTCTTAGTTCTTCAAGTGTAAAAATGAGACTGAAGACTTTTTTTTTCCCCCCAAGTGGTTAGAAATTGGCACTTTGGAATTTCTTGTTACTCCACATGTGAGAGAGGTGACATTGTTTAATCTATAGTTTAGATGCTCACATTTGGTAGGCTGTAGAGGACAGTTATATTTTTCATGTTACTTTATTAATGACCCGAAAATTTCCAGTGGGTTTTGCTGTGCTTGGTGAGCTGGCTCGTGTCAGCTTAGGGAGTTTGTGTCACACAAGTGGTAAGGTACTCGGAAAGGTAACACCAGAAGCCTATGTAATGGTCATTTGGAAATGTCTCTGAACATGTAGTCTTTTAAAACACTGGCTTCTTAAAACTGGTGAGTTTCTGATACTTGGATAATTTTTGGTAAGATTTAAGCTTTTCAGGAGAGGTTTTTTTTAGTTTAAAATTGAAATTCTGCCTTTCTCCTGCTCTATAATTTTCCTCAAAACCTTTATACTTGTGTTATTGAACCTTAGTCAATATTTAACTGTTATCATTTCTGAGTAGTAAGATGTGTTCCCTCTTAAGTGCTATGCCTCCTACTAGCTGAGGATCCAAGATAATGTGAAAGGAAATCTGCATGGAATTCCTCAGGAGACTCTGGCAGACAGATATTGTTGTTTGAGATGAATGCAAGGAGATTTTTTTTTTTATGCATAGAATGGATGCTTTGAATAGTAACTACGGTATGTTAGCAAGGAGATGAGCAAAGCGTACGAGGGAACAGAAATTTTGAACTGTGTGTGCAAAATCTTTTTTTCTAGTTTACACATCAAACTTGTTCCTTACGTTATAATTCACTTCTACTGTCAGAAGATAATTTTATGCCTCAGTTAGCTGTGCCTGACAGAAAGCCTTGCTTTTGCATCGCTCATTGTCACACACATCAGAGCTGGAAGGAGGAGAGTGGAAATTCATAATATTGTAGGACGTATTGCACAAGTACTGTAAAGTGCTGGGACCTACCAAGGTGCAACTGGAGATTCAAGTATCCTTAACGATTATTGTCTTTCCAGATACTCTTTGGGAAGGGAAGAAAGGATTTAGTTATGGAAGCTGGAATGTTGCCAGGAAACCAAGGTAGCAGGTCTCCCAAGTGTAGATTACTAAAGCTAACTCTCTTCATCATTCAATAATGTAAATCTGTGGGAATAAAGTGTAGATCAGCAAAAAAAAAAAGTTTAAATTTGAGTAACTGAAGTCTGGTACAGTAGAATTAAAAAAATTGTATCCATACAAACTACGTGTTCTGAAATATTTTAAATTGCCTAGCAGTTATCAAATATTTCTGTACTGTAAAAATGCATCTCTCATTCTCTGATGTAAGATATAAAGCTGTGAACTCCCTGCAATTTATTACTATTCTCTTTCTAGTCGAATAATCTTTGATCTTTCAGATTTTAAAGCGTTCATTCTCAAAACTGCCTTGTATGTTTCTGACTACTTATAGCATCTTTCATCAGAAGAAAACGACCACAGTTCTTGTTACAGCCAGTCAGATAGTCAGTATGGTTCTCCTCCAAAGGGTTGGTCAGAAGAGTTGGATGAACATGGTCAAACCTTATATACCAATGACTATACTAATGAAAAGGTACTTTTTCCTTCTTCTCATCACATTCTCAATCTTTTCCACTAATTCACTGTTAGAAATGCCGATTTCATTTCTAGAAGTGAGAAGCATTCCTCAGCAGTATCTCCTTTTGTTTTTAAGTATGCATGAAACTTTAGCAACAGAACTGACTCTGCTATTTTCTTACATATGTTCTTCACTATTCATAAAAAGTTTTCTTATTTCTAGTTGAGTATCAGATTATATTAAGTGAACGTATAATGTATAATTTTTTCAGTTCCTGCTCTGCCCCCATCCTCTTGGCTACACTTCAGGAATGAACTTCATACCAATATAATGTTTTTCTTACTGTCTTTTTACTGTTCTTGTCTACATATCAAACTGAAAGTAATGCTGCTTTATCAGTTTCATCCTTTACTTTATTAGAGGTTTTCAGTACTACTTTCAGGTGTAGACAAACTTCTTCATTAAACTGCAACTGTATGAGCAGATTTATGTTCCATTCTAATTATCTAATTGCTACTGACTATGTACTGTGATTTTGGGCACGTCATAGAAATTTCTCCTGTGTAGGATAAACGACAGTATTTGTTTATATTTGTAAAGCAGTCCGTTTTTACAATAGTTCACTAAAGTTGCATTTTGGGTTTTAACTTAAAATCTTCACTGAAACAGTAGCATGTTTACCTTATTATAGCACCACCTCTTCTCCAGTTATGTGTGCAAGTTTTTTGAAAGAAGCTTTTAAATAATTCAGTTTTATGTCAGCTTTTGAATTTTATCCTACTTAATCTACTTCTGCTCAACATCTGTAGAGCACATACCTATGTTTTGGAAAATATGCAACCTTTTTTTCTAAATTGCACTGGGATTGATAGAAAAACAGTGTTTCCTATCACATACAGTTAATTGGAAGGCAATCTTGTGAAACCTGCTTGACCCAAGAGCCTTGTTGTGAGTGTTTCTGTGCGTATTTTTGTGCAATCTTCTTGTAGAATTTTGCACATTACAATTCTTTCCTTCCTGCATAACTAGTCATAGTTGTCATAGTTTTACCTCTTTGATTGAGGGAATTGCTTATAGAGGTTACAGAAATTACATTATCTTCTTCATGATTTTTTTTTTTAGGAACTGCATCTCATGTACCTGTTGATGTTTTAAAAATGGAGTTGTTCAAGAAGTGCAATTATCTCTTAAATTATCAGCAGTTGCTGGTTGAGCTTTTTGTAATTCTCTAATTTTATGTATAAAATCCTTACACAGATCTAATATAAAGATTGTGCCTCCTTAAACTGACACCATAATGTTGGTAAGAGTGAGATATGCCATCTTCAATCTATTAATCACGATCTCTTGTGTGATATTGCAAGACTATTTTCTGAGGAGTTACAGAAGGAAAAAATATTAGTGAACCCAGTTCAGGAAGCTGAAAACTGTGTTGCTTTCATTGGTGACTAACCTTGGTTAGTTAGTGGAGGCTGTGCACTAGGCGCTGCTGAAGTAGATGCCGCTTTATTAAAAATTAACTTTAAATCCCAAGTGTCAGAGACTTACTATATTACGACTGTCACTGATTGCATTTCCTGTCATCATGTTTCTTTCTACAGTGGATAAAACACGCTGATGAACAGGGTAGACCATACTACTACAGTGCTGATGGTTCCCGATCAGAGTGGGAGTTACCTAAGGTGAGTGAACTAAAAAACAAACTTTGGCAACTTGAGGCTTTTCCCATCTCCCCAGTGAATGTTCTGTGTGACCTTTAGTGGGAGTTCTTCACAGCAAGAGGACTTACATATTGCACTTGGTTATGTCTGGCATTTTTATGGAATTTCTGATTGTGAAGAGAAAAAAATATACTGAAGAACATGAAAAATGGATGTATATAACTACTCCAATGTCAAAAGAGATCATGCATCTTTGCTGAACTGAGCTTTTCATGCGAGGCTGCAGAATAATATCTGTGATTTTTGTGTGATAAAGAAAACCTCTATAGGAAAAAAGAAATTTTTTTAACTACAAAATGTTTCTGAAAAACTATCGTCTACTTTTAGTAACCTCCAAAATGCGTGATTTCTGTCATTCATTTCTAAATTTGGTGATTGAGGTGTTTTTCAGTACACTTAGACAGGTGTTGAAAACCAAAAGTTTCAGCAGATGGATGTTTGTTCAATCCTAGATAGTGAGGTGACTATAAAAAGAAAAGTTTCACACAGAATTGTGTGCATAAGTATTCTCAGTTAATTTCATCAGTCAAAAAAACAGTGTCCTAAGTCACCTGCACTTCGGAGCAACCTTAATGGATAGTGCTTTCCTAATACTTTTGAGAAAATATTTACGTTGAAATTTATGAATGAAGCTATGTACTAGCCTGTTTTGTTACATCAGTAAAAGAATTTATATCTGAGTCACTGAAGAGTTGAGTTAGCTTTGTGGATTCTCCAGTGTTGGTCTGATGTGTTAGGTACCGTAAATTTTGTAACATATGTTAACTTAACAGTATAATCTGTGACTACTGATTTTAAAAGCTACTTAGCTATTGATTAGCTATTAGATTGGTTAGAAGTCTGAAAAATCTGCTAGATCAGGTTTTACCAGAAGCAATTGTTAGTTCAGTGTGTACAATTGAAGTTAATTTTGGGGAATAATGTCTTGGGTGCTTCGTTTTATGACTTCTACAATGCAGAAAGTTTTGACTGTGAAAAATTGCTTTCCACTAAAATAGGTTGGATTTGAATTTGAACTAAATAGCTAATTGACTTGGCTTGAATCCAACTACAATAAGTTACAAAGATAATCCAAAATTGTTACCTGAGGCATGTTAATATAAAGTGATGGGGTCTATTTGTGTGTTACTGCGTGATATTCTAGTGGTTCTAAACAAACATCTGAGCTCCGTTATGTGAATAGCAGCCTACAGAATGAAACACGGCATCTGTTTCAAAGTTTGCAATCTGTTATGCTTTGTTCTTGTTTGTATGAAAATCATCACATATTGCTGTTACAAATTTTCCTTGAAAATTATTTCTAATGAGCCATTTGGGCAGAATGTACTCTTTAATTCCTTCTTGAAACTGTTAAATCTTGGGTGGCAGCAAATATGAGGTTAACAGAAGTAAATGAGCAATTGACTCTTGGATTCATGGTTTGAGAGCCTATATATTTCCAGAAATCCTTAGGTTTTAACTTCAAATGCTGTGGAATAGATTAAATATTTCAGTAAAAGATTTAGCTAGTTTACATAACTATATTTCTGAAGAACATATAGCAGAGATGTTACACTTTTGAGGAATTGAAGGGTAATTGAGGATTATCCTCTCGAAAAATCTTACTGAAACCTATTCCAGAAGTGCTTGGGAACAAATGAATTGTGAAGACAATGTAGGTTGCTGAACTGCTTTGAAGAAAAGTAATCATATATTGAAAACTTTCTTGAGCGATGAGAGAAAACTGTAGAAAGACTTCAGCATTGCAACTCTTGCTTAAATGAAAAGTTACTAGGGGAAAAAAAACCCTACTCTTGGTCATTTTTTCTCCAGGGTATTTAGTTCAAACATTGCC